TTAGCCCCAAAGGAGAAAACCAGCCGTTAGCCCCAAAGGAGAAAAAACCAGCCGTTAGCCCCAAAGGAGAAAACCAGAGACACCAGCCGTTAGCCCCAAAGGAGACACTTCTGCTCCCAGTGGTTTACGGGGATTCAGGAAACTCTCAGAGACTTGTTAGCTGTTTAAAAATAAAATATGACCAGCTTTGAGAAGAGAAAGGGTTAGGGTGTCGAGTGGGAGCTGGGGATGAACGTGTCTGTAGTATGAATTTCCAGAATGAATTTAGTATGAATTTCAAGACTGAATTTCCAACATGAATTTCCAGTATGAATGTAGTATGATTTTCCTAAATTTTTCCACAATTAATGTAGTATGAATTTCCATAATGAATTTAGTATCAATTTCCAGAATAAATTAATAAATGAGAGGTGACACAGGACAGAGGGAAGGAGTAGCAACGCTTGTGTTTTTCTGTAAAATTTGAACTCCATATTTATCATAGTGTAAAACCATATCACTGGTCAATCTATCTGCCAAACTCCTATATTTTCTCAGGGGTCTTTATTTTCACGTTGTGTTTATATTCTTATTCTTTTATTCTTTTTTTTTTTACTTTGTATTTATATTCTTCTTTTTTTGGCTATTCACATTTAGTGTGTACCTGTACTTTATCTGTATTTTTTGTATTTTTTATTTGCATTTTTCTCTCTGTGTACCACTTTTTTCCCTGTAAACTGCTGGTAACTTTAATTTCCTGAGGGAGTCTTCCCAAGGGATCAATTAAGTACTGTCTAAGTCTAAGTCTGAGACTGAGTCTGAGTCTAAGTCTGAGTCTGAGTCTGGACCCTCACAGTGGTGCGTCTCTGGTTGTAATTCCAGTTGGTTTGTTACTTCTGTGCAACATTTTAAGACTTAAAGACGACAGGTTAGCCTCGGTTAGCATCTGCGTTCTGTCTGTGGCCTCTGTTATTCAACATAACCCCCCCAACATGGAAAAGTTTTTAACAGATGAAAAGAAAAACGGAGAGAGACAAAGATAACGAGACAAAAGAAAGTCACCCGAAAGCTAATCGTTTTATATATTGTGCTCCTGAGTTAATGTTGCTTAACTGAATATAACTTAGTTATTATTTTTGTTGTTTTTGTAGTTTATTAGTTATTATAATTATTAAATATTATTTATTGATTTTGATTTAATTTTGCAACGGTGCAATTAGTTGGTCAAACACATTTACAGTTTTAAAAAGGATTTATTTATTTTTAATTTCAGGCATTGATGCACTTAAAATCTTTTCTGTTGCAGACTTAAAACACGAGTTTGACCATATGTCTTTCTTTTTTCCTTTTCTTTAATGTTAATAAGGATAAAATGTTATGCAGAGATGGATAGTCACGGTGGGGAGTGGGGGGGCGCGAATAGTTTTCTTCTTGCTAGGGGGGGGCGTAACAGAAAATAATTGAGAAGCACTGGGTTAGACAGATATTAGGACCGGGCTGTCTGGGGCTAATCCAGATGCTAACCCAGATGCTAATCCAGATGCTACTCCCGATGCTAATCCAGATGCTAATCCAGTCTAACTCTAAGTTTAGTCTGAGTGTGAAACCTTAATCTGGATGCTAATCCCGATGCTAATCCAGATGCTACTCCAGTCTAACTTTAAATTAGGTCTGAGTGTGAGACCTTAATCCCGATGCTAATCCAGATGCTACTCCAGATGCTACTCCAGATGCTAATCCAGATGCTAATCCAGTCTAACTCTAAATTTAGTCTGAGTGTGAAACCTTAATCCGGATGCTAATCCAGATGCTAATCCCGATGCTAATCCAGTCTAACTCTAAGTTTAGTCTGAGTGTGAGACCTTAATCCAGATGCTAATCCCGATGCTA